GTCCTGGCCCTGATCCTGGCAACACAGGAGACCCAGTAAGCACAGAGCAGCAGAGGGAGACAAGGCCAGGAGGGAGGACAGGGAATGGGTGGGACAGACCTGGCCCCATAACTCACCTCCCAGCTCCTATCCACCAGGCAAGCCCCTCACCAATTCCATCCCACGGCCCCCTCACTGCCCATCTTTGTGCCTTCAGATCCTCCACCATCCCTGGAACTGAGTGGTGTCCCCAGAGTGAAGCAATACCATGGCTTCCCTGACTCGGCTTCTCCCAAATAAAGAAAGAGTGGGCTGGCTGAGCCCTGAGCAAGGACGCTGTGGATGCTTTATCACTATGCCCATTTTACGGACTAGGACATTGTGCTAGGTGGCTTTCCTGGGGTCACAAGGGAATGGACAAATTTCTCTGCAACTGACCTGCTCTGATATCCTATCATGATTTGAGAACATATCAATTAATTAATATATGCATCCAATATCATTAGTGCCTACAATGATCCAGGAACTGAGCTAGTTAGCGCAGATAAATACATGTAACATACATACTAATGGAGAGTGTGTAGATCATTTCAGATGCTACAAAGTGCTGTAAGAAAACAAAATAGAACCTCGTAATGGCGAGGGACTCAGTGGAGGTCAGGAAAGGCCTCTCTGAAAAGATAACTTTGAGCAAAACCCAGAATGATGATAATGAGCTAACTGTGAAACTCTGTGAGGACAGTAATGCAGGCAGGTTGTTAAATATATATTCATTCATTTACTAGAGACACAGTGTTAAATCAGTAGTATTTAATTCCTGGACAGCATTTAGAGTAGCTTCAAGACAGTAGTAGAAAGTGGCTAGAATTTTTTTTTTTTTTTTTGAGACCAAGTCTCTCTCTGTCACCCAGGCTGGAGTGCAGTGGTGAGATCTTGGCTCACTGCAACCTCCGCCTCCTGGGTTCAAGCGATTCTCCTGCCTCAGCTTCCCGAGTAGCTGGGACTACAGTTGTGTGCCAGCACGCTCGGCTAATTTTTTGTATTTTTAGTAGAGTTCTGGAATCATTCAAACGTACTTTCAAGTTCTGGCTCATTCTCTTGTTGGTCACGGACCGGGCAAGTAGCTTAATCTCACCGAACTTCATTTGTAAGAGGAAGATTATATGCATCCCATAGTTAGGCTGCAACTGCAGCTTTCTCTCCCAGGGTCCATTCTCCCCTTCATCGTGACCAACAGATCTCAGTCTTGTGTGGGATGGCAATGTGCCCACCTAACATGCTCCTCCCAAATCTCTTTGCTGCTAGTGGTGCCTGTGGGCCTTGTTCTTGTCGGGCGAAGCTGGGGTTGGAGATGGAGTCGGTATCTTCAAAGTTGTTGCTTTGTTATCGAAGCAACTGGATGATAACAACAGCCAACACGCCGCAGACGGCAGAGCGGAAAGGCGCTGAGAATCCGGGTCCCCGGCCTCTCGCAAGGCTGTTGAGTCACTACGCTAGCCCTGGGATGCTGATCTCTGGAGAACTTGTTAGGTGAGAAATGATCGCCTCTTGGTTAAGCCATAGGGTTGGGTTTTCTGTTATCTGCAGCCAAATGCATGTTACTATAAGGTTCTTAAGAGGATTACATGAAATAAAGACAGTGCCTAATAAAACTCATTACATGATTGCCATTAGTATATGATGATGAGCTCATCCAAGCATTCACTGCTTCCCTTTCACTTGCCTGCCAGCACTTTGCACAGAACCTGCCCATAGAAGAGCCATAGCTATCACCTCTGAGAAATAGAGAAATGAATTCTGAGACCAGGAAGAGTCGTTTACACATTCGATCTGAATCAGGATATAAATACTTGTCTTTTAGAGCTGAAAAGTGAGAAGGTGGAGTTAATGTTTTCCTCGCAAATTAAATAGTCATCCATATCACGCGGTGGCACCGAGAACACGGAGGCATGAGAGGCCGATGGCGAGTGTTTCCCTCCTTCACGCCAGGTGTCACAGTTACACTTCTCTGATGGTCTTGTTGGACTTGATTTACACACAGATAAATATGCAAGCTCAGCAGTAAAGGGCCTCCAGCCAAGATTTTCTGTTCTGTATTTAAAAGGAAAGTTTCAGGCTGGCGCAGTGGCTCAAGCCTGTCATACCAGCACTTTGTGAGGCTGAGGAGGGTGGATCACCTGAGGTCAGGAGTTCCAGGCCAGCCTGGCCGACATGGCGAAACTCCATCTCTACTAAAAAAAAAAAATTACAAAAATTAGCTGGGCGTGGTGGTGTGCACCTGTAATCCCAGCTACTTGGGAGCCTGAGGCAGGAGAATCACTTGAACCTGGGAGGTTCAAAAGAAAGCTCCAGGGTCAGGCTCCTCAGATTCTCCTCAAAGCCAGGGCAGGCTGCTCGAATCATGAGTCCGTCGTGGTGGGGGCGGAGGATCACCCCGGAGCCTCTCATCCCTTCTGCAGGTCACCCCTGATGCCTTGGCTGTCCCCCAGCATCTGTGTGTTCATGCCCCACCAAGGCCTGCTGCCCTCAGCCGCCTCCCCTCTCCTTGCCTTGCAGCCCATGGTCCAGGGACACAAGGTCCAGCTTGGGCAGCGCATCCAGGAGCCAAGTGACCTCACTGTCCGCGGGCTGCAGTTTCTAGAACCGAGCACGACGTTGGGGAGGCCAGATTGCAAAGCCAGGCAGGCTGTTGGAGTGAGTCAGCCATCTGCGGCCTCTATCCCGGCTCCCGTGGAGCGGAGGCGGCCCCGAGCAACCTGCACATGGCCGCACTGGACTTCATCTGCCTTGCACTTCGTTTTGGAAGCTGAAGGACGCAGCCCAGGCCAGGCACTGTCCGGCCCCTGCAGTCTGACGTGTCTTCTATATTTCTAGGTATGTGCCGTGCCACCAGCACAGGATCAATGATTCCTTGAATGTGGGAATCTTGTCCTGTTCATTCTTGCATCTTGGTAGCATTATTTGTTGGGACGGGGAGTGAGAATAGAACCTGTTAATGGCATGAATTTGTAAATCAGATGGGTGTGGGTTGGAATCTTGACTCTGACATTTACTCCCTTTGAAACCCTTAGATATATTGTTTACCTTTCTGTTCCTCAGTGTTCCTGTCTTGTAGATAGGATTAGCAATAACACCTATCTCTCAGCATTGATGCAAGGATTGAATGAGGTGACATAGATGGAGAAGTGAGCATGGCAGCTGGTAGACAGGAGGCGTGGAAGAAATGGGTACACCTCTGAGCAGGAGAATTTATTTCTTCCTGGTGCCTCGCTTTAACTAGACACTCCCATCCAGTACAGACAGCTCCATCTGGGACCCTCTCTTCCTTCCGTGCCCCGCCCTTCCTGCCACCTCCTCATCTCCCCTTTTCTGGAATTTTCCACTCTGTACCCAATCCTTGGATCTGAGCAGACACCTCCACCCTCTCTTCCCCTGGCTTGGTTTTGTACTTTCTATTTTCCTTGATCAATTTCTGGGAAGCTAGTTCTCTGCTTGGAACCCCACCCCACTTTCTAAGCTTTTCTTTAGCCAGCAGGTGAGTGGTGCTGCTTGGGGTGATGGCAGTTTTGCTCACCTGCACGAAGCATCCAGACTGCATGTTCAAGGGCAGCTGCCTGGATCCCAGCCCTAGTGTGAGCACCCCTCATGTAAAAGACCAGCTTCCATGGATTTGGGGTTCTGTCTACAGGGTGCCCCAGCTCTCCAGGGTCCAGGCAACCTCGCCTTGGCATGTGACATGGCCAGAACCTGAGCTCCAAAGTCTGGGCAGTGGAGGAGTGCGACAGAGGGGCAGGAGCAGGCGCAGTTCAGGCATCAAGTTACACATTTGCTGGGCATATAATGAGGAGGCGATGGGGATGGTCTGCTACCGGGAGAAGCTTACAATTTGGGACCTGCTGTCAAGAACAAGATCAGGATGTGTCATAATCCATTTTATGTGGCTATAACAGAATACCACAGACTGCATAATTTATAAAGGAAAGACATTTATTTCTCAGTTTTGGAGGCTGGAAAATCCAGTATTAAACTGCGGAAATCTGGCGACACTTCTTGTGTCATCCCATGGTGGAAGGTGAGAGGGTGAGAGAGAATGAGAGATGGAACTTAAAGCCTCAAGCCCTTTCAGATTTGGCACTGATCCATGAATGAGAATGGAGCCCTTGTAAGCCAAACACCTCCCATTAGGCCCCAACTCCCAAAGGATTAAGTTTTCAACACATATTTTGTGGCGGACACATTCAGACCATAGCAGGATTCTAGACGAGTCTCTTTTTAACTGACACAGTGTGATGTGAACCAACTAACCATCAAAAAGTGGATCCCTAGAAATGGAGTCTCCTCGGAAAGGTGGCTGTGGCGGAGGACTTCTGTGGTCCTGTCTGCTCCTCCTCAGGAGGCTGAGAAGTGCCTTCCCAGGCCTTGCACGCCTTACTCCAGTGTTAAGGGCACTGGTTTGAGGAAAGCAAACCGTGGGCTCCAATGCTGTGGTCACTGACTCCTTCAGAATCTGTTAACAAATGCTGGCTTCTCCATGTGCCATACACTGATTTAGGTTCTTGGGAAACTGGCAAACCTCTGCCCTCACTGGGCTTTTGTTTTATTAGGAGAGACAAGCAACAGACAAGTAACAGATCCTGGCTCTGAATGACATGAAGAAAATGTAGTAGGTCCGAGGAAACTTACACTCGTGCATTTTACCTGGGGCGGGGGGGGGGGGGAGCTCTCTGAGGCGGTGACATTGGGCCTGAGATCTGAATGACAAGTATAGCCCTCATGTGAAGACCTGAAAAAATCACCTTCCAGAAAAATACTGCGAGTGCAAAGGCCCTGAGGAGGAAATGAACTTGCCAAAGAACTTGCCAAATGTTCTTGCCAGCAGAAGGAAGCTCCGCTGGGCTGGAGTGCCATGAGGGAGGCCGGCAGAGAGAATAAGGTGGAGGTCGGATCATGCCAAGCGCTGTAGGTCATGAAGGGAGCTCAGATTCTGTTTGGAGGGTAATTGGAGGCCACTGAAGGGTTTTAACCGGGAATGATGTAATTTCTGTTTTAAAAAGGTGAGTTGGGCTGTTGGATGGGGAGCCAGCTGATGCAGGGGAGTAGCAGGCATAGAGCCAGTAGAAGGCCCTCCATCTGACGTCACCTGCCTCACTAGCCTGTGCTGCTGAGACCCTGGCATGCCTTACGGTCACCCCCGTCCACATTTACACTGCGCCTCAATCCATCTCTCCTGGTTTAGAGATGGCAGAGGCACCCGTCCCTCTTTCCCAGGTTGCTATTAACACAGGGCGCGAGCGCCCAGAACGACTCCTTCCCACGCTCCTTCATTCTCTCTGCAGACTGTCTTCCCACCACCTTGTTCCGAGGCTCTGGGTGAGTGTTCCAGAAGCTGACGAGATGCACGATCGTCTCCCTCACACACACAAATGCCATGGCAACGGCAACTCCGTAATAACAGCAAAGGAAGCCAGGCTGGAATTTGCCAACCCGGAGAGTTGACCATCTGTGAGGCCAAACCCTCCAAATGTTGCCCGTTGTAAGTGCTCATCTCAACCAGGCTTTTGTACATAGCAGAGGCGACATTTAAGTGACATAAGAATAAATAGTGGGCACATGTGAAATCCCTTTAAAGTGTGCATTTTTCTGCCCCAAGGTGACTGAGGCAATGAGACAATGAAGAAAGAAGGGCGACTAGATCTTAGTGAGTGGGCATGGTAGATTTCAGTACAGGCAATTTAGACCGTCCGTAGGGGAGGAACGCCCCACAGAAAAAAAGGCCCAGTTAGTTTATATCTATGCTTCCGTTTTCAAGTCCATCAATCTTTTAGAAGTTTACTTTCCCCAAGGAAAACATTGTGTGTGTGTGTGTGTGTGTGTATGTGTGTGTGTTTATATTTATTTTGTTTTTTTTTTTGTTTTTTGGAGACACGGTCTTACTCTGTCACCCGGGCTGGACTGCAGTGGTGCAAACACAGCTCACTGCAGCCTCAGCCTCCTGGGTTCAAGCCATCCTCCTGCCTCAGCCTCCCTAGAAGCTGGGACGACAGGCGTGCACTATCATGCCTAGCTAATTTTTAAATTTTTTGTAGAGACAGGATCTTGACATGTTGCCCGGTCTCGAACTCCTGAGCTCAAGTCATCCTTCTGCCTTTGAATCCCATACTTGTGGGATTACAGCAGGCTCTACCACATCCAGCCAAAAATTTGTGACCATTTCAATCAAAGGCCCCTCTGAATCTAACCCTCTGGGCCTTGAGTTTCCGTGGGTCGCCTTTCATTCTCTCAATAGTGGTGATAACATCTGGTGGGAACTGTGCCATGTCCTTCACACGTATTTTCTCCTTTACTCTTTGTAACAAACTTAGGAGGAGGTATCGTGACTACAGTTGGCCTTCCATATCTGCAGGGATCTGCGAATTGGGTTCTACCAACTGTGGATTGAAAATATTTGCAGGGGCCGGGCACGGTGGCTCGCGCTTGTAATCCCAGCACTTTGGGAGGCCAAGGCAGGTGGATCACGAGATTAGGAGTTCAAGACCAGCCTGGCCAAGATGGTGAAAGCCCACTTCTACTAAAAATACAAAAATTAGCCAGGCATGGTGGCAGTCTCCTGTAATCCCAGCTACTCAGGAAGCTGAGGCAGGAGAATTGCTTGAACCTGGGAAGCAGATTGCATGAGCTGAGATCGGGCCACTGCACTCTAGCCTTAGCAACAGAGCGAGACTCCGTCTCAAAAAAAAAGAAAGAAAATATTGGGGCAAAATATCCACAGTGAAAAATAACAATACAACAATAAAAATAATACACAATTTCAAAATACAGTATAACAACTATTTACATAGAATTTTCTTTTTCTTTTTCTTTGAGACTGAGTCTTGCTCTGTCGCCAGGCGCCAGGCGGGAGTGCAGTGGCGTGATCTCAGCTCACTGCAACCTCCGCTTCCTGAGTTCAAGCAATTCTCCTGCCTCAGCCTCCCGAATAGCTGGGACTGCAGGCACGCACCACCATGCCCAGCTAATTTTCATATTTCTTAAGTAGAGACGGGGTTTCACTATGTTGGCCAAGATGGTCTCGATCTGACCTCGTGATCTGCCTGCCTTGGCCTCCCAAAGTGCTGGGATTACAGGCCCGAGCCACCGTGCCCGGCCTTACATAGCATTTTCAATATTTTAGGTCTTATAAGTGATATAGAGATGGAGAATGTGCATAGGTTGTATGCAAATAATACTCCAATTTATGTAAGCATCTTAAAAGTCCTTGGATTTTAGTATCTATGGGGGCCCTGGAATCAATACCCCCACAGATATTGCAGATATTGAAGGATGACTGTACCTTCTTTTTAAGAAAGTTGAGAAAACACGCACCAGCTTGGAGCTTGCTGGAGGCCAGGCAGAGGCAGGCTGGCTGGGAAGGATTGTTTTCTTTTACTTGCTGCCTCAATCCTTGGAAGCTTTGGGTGACCCTGGGAACAAGTGAAAGTAAGGCTCAGGTGGAGGAGGGGGCTGGGCGGGTTGTGGGAGGGCCACCCTCCAGGGCCAGTGGAGGGACTTCGGGGAGGGCTCTGTTTGAAGAGGCCAGGGTCGAGGACAGGAAGAGCTGTTTTGGAAAGCGAGGCTGGTGGATTTGGCTGAGGATGTGGTGGGCATGCCGGGACAGAGATGACTGAGCTGGTGGATACACACAGGAGCCAGGCGCTCAGCAGAGGCCAGGCTGGACAGGCGCATCTGGGAGCCATCAGTCGGACATGGCAACAGCATTTTTGGCTCAGGCCTATAGGTGCTTCTCTGGAGCCTGCCCTGGCCCCTCAGGCCACTTCTGTCCCTGCCCTGTGTCCCCAAGACATGCTTGTCTCTGTGCCTGGAAGGTCTGGGCTCCTTCCTGCCTCCCTGCTTGACTGGGAGCTCCTGGAGGCCACAGACCATGCTCAGCTCATCTTAGCTCCTGACCAGGGCCACGCATGCCAGCACATGTGGGTCCCAGCTTCCTCCTAAGCCCGGGCACTCCCCAGCCTTCTGCTCACTCCACAGCATCACATCAGCAGCAAGTCCTACCAATTCTTCCTCCCTGTCGTGAGTTGAATCGTGTCCCCCCCAAAAGATCTGTTGAACCTCCAGCTCCCAGTAACTGTGGTTAGGAACTTATCTGGAAATAGGTCTTTGTAGATGCCATCCAGTTAGGCTCACTCAGGGGCTAATCTGACTGTCTTTATAGGAAGAGTTACGTGAGACCTCCAGGAACACCACATGACATCGGAGGCAGAGATTGGAGGGGCCAGCTAACAGCCAGGGAGCGCTGAAGATTGACATCACAGGCTGGAAGAGGCAGGAAGGTTCTGCCTTAGAGCCTGGCCCTGCAGCACCTTGGTCTCAGACTTCCAGTCTCCAGAAGTGGAACACGATACATTCCTGTTGTTTTCAGCCCCCACAGGCATGGTGCTGTTACGGCAGCCACAGGAAACCAGCACACTCCGTGTGAGGCCCGCCTGCCCATCTCCCTCCCGCCCTTGCTTTCCACTGCCTGGGCCTGGCCTTCCCTGCTCTTCCCTTTCCACCAAGCAGCCCGGTGACCCAGGAGGGCTGAGTCACCTGTGAGTGCCCAAGTGCCCTGTGCTGTCCCACACCTTTGCCCATGCTGTTCCCCTGCCTAAGCTGCCCTCCCTCCTGTCTGATGGTGACTCCTACACATCTTCAAAACTCAGGTCACCTCCGTGGTAGGGCTGTCCCAACCTGACTTCCAGGTGGAGGCAGCCGTTCCCTCCACAGTTCTTCTCTTCAGCTCGCCTCTTGCCCCCACCCCCTGCCGCCACTCCTCATGGCACAGCCAGTTTAATTGCTCCTTATTTATGTCCCCTTTCCCCTGCGTCTGACCATGAGTCACTTGAGGGCAGGGAGCAAATCCCATGGCAGAGACTCAGTAATGGAGGTTGGTTGGCTGTGCAGAGGGCTAGAGGGACAACCTCATAAACTGGAAGGCTGGATGGTCAGACAGCAGAAAACCTGAGAGGACATCCACACCGTTGGCTCTGCGTGAGGCGCGTCCTCCTGTGGCCCTGCGGTTGGCAGGGAGGGATCCAGGGTTTGTGGGACCTGATGCTTATGTGATTGAGGAGCATCCCCTTCAAGAAAAAAATATAAAAGCAGGTGCGGGGCTTTAGAGGGGCCCAGATGCGGCGTAAGCTTTATCAGCATCCCGGCACATTCACCTCTGCTGCTGCCTTTGCTGGGCACACCCCCATGTCCTGGCCTTGCGCTCCAGCCCCGCCGTGCCCACCCACTTCCTCCTTGCCTGACCGCGGACCGCAGGCGACACTTTCGCTGAGATTGCTTCCCCTTGAGGTCTGCAGGTCTCCAGGCGGCCGGAGAAAGCCTCAGCTGTCTCAGCTGTCTCGGGAGGACAGGCTGCAGCCTCATCACCCCCAGCCCAGCCGGGGTGAGCGCTGCCTTTGGAGCATGTTTGCCTCCCCTGTTCCCACCGGCTGCCCCCCGGGCCGGCCAAGCTCCATGGGATGAGGATTCCAAGGAGACCAGTGTTTCCATCACCTGCTTGCAGGCTGGCAGGACCCTGGAGGTGCTGTTGCGGTATATTTGTTTTCAAAGCAGCTGCAACAATGACCACAAACACGGTGCCTCCAAACAACAGAAATTGATTCTCCCAGTTCTGGAGGCCGAACGTGCAGGTGCCGGCAGGGCGCTGCCTCCAAAGGCTCTGGGGCAGTATCCTCCCCACTTCTTTCTGCTTCTGGCAGCTCCTGGCATTCCTTGGCTTGTCCTGCCTCTGCCTTCACGTGGCTTTCCCTTTCTGTCTTCCCACTTCTTATATGGACGTGGATCATTGGATTTAAGGCTCACCCTAAAGCCAGGATGATGTCAGCTCAAGAGCTTCACTTGCGTCTCAGAGACCTGTTTCCAAATAAGGTCACATTTACAGGAACCAAGGGGTTAGGACTTGAACAGAGCTCCTGGGGACACAATTCAGACTGTTACACGTGGGACAATGATCTGAGCCTGCCTCACGTGGGAGAACGGCTGGCTGCTCTGCAGGAATGAGTGGAGTGGCCAGCGCCGCCCCAGGGAGAGCCCACCTGCCACCCACAGCTGCCCCCTCAGGGCCGCCTGTCCCTTTTCCTCCTTTTTTTGGGGGGGTGGGGGTGGGCGGAAAGAGCCTTGCTCTATTGCCCAGGCTGGAGTGCAGTGGTGAGAACTTGACTCACTGCAACCTCCACCTTGAGGGTTCAAATGATTCTCACGCCACAGCCTCCCGAGTGGCTGGGACTATAGGCATGCACCACCATGCCCGGCTACTTTTTATATTTTTTGTAGAGATGGTGTTTTGCTGTGATGGCCAGGCTGGTCTCGAGCTCCTGACCTCCAATGACCTGCTCACCTCGGCCTCCAAAAATGCTGAGATGACAGGCATGAGCCACTAACGATACCCAGTCAGTGGGCTCTCTTCTGCCTGCAGCAAGACCAGGAGCTCCTGGGGACAGACACATCTTCTGCCCCAGCACCACTCCTCCAGCGGTGCTTCCACCACTTGCCGCTCTGCTTCCAGCCCTCATCTTCCCCTCCCTCCCTCTGACTGGCTCCCAGTCTCCCTCCCTCTGACTGGCTCCCAGGCTCCCTGCATCTGACTGGCTCCACAGTCTTCTCCCTCCTCCCTGTTTCCCCACGCTCCTCTTTGTGGCCTCCCCCTTGGCCTGGCTCCAAGCTCCAAGCAGAGGGTGAGAGGGAAAGGGTCGGGAAGGCACCCTCTCCTGAGGCCCCTCACAATGGAGATGAGCACTGGGCCAGCTAATCCTAGGCCAGGACTTCACCAGGGTCTCCTCCCTCTGTCTGTGCCTTGTCAGTCCATCTTTCTGGAAAAGACCCCTCCACACACACACCCAGAAACCACCCACCTGCTGCTTCTGCCTTCTTGCCGGTTCCTGGCTTGGTTACCACTTGCCCTGGTCCCTCACTCCAGGTCTCAGCCCCCCTTTGGGTCCTTCCGAACACTTGTTACTACCACAGGAAAGCCTCTGCCCCTCCTCGGGTTTCCAGGGAGGCAGGCTGACTCCACTGGGGGGGGGCAGAGCAGCACAGGTCCCTCCCCCTCACTCCCTGGGGAGAAGGATTCTGCGGAGTCCGGGAAGCCCAGCCTGCCTGCGGCCCTGGGGATGGCTCCCGTGGCCAGCTCTCCGCTCGTGGGCACCACTTGTGTTTGGCCCTGCTCTGCCCCTGCCTGGGATGGTTATGTTGAATTCGGGAGGAAGGAGCCAGGGCCCATCTGGTTCTGAGTCAGAATAACTCCAGCAGCTTCTCATTTCCAGCGTGGAGCTGACATTTCAGCCCTTACCACCTGCCGATTCTGTTTCCTAATGAATTCCCACTGCAGAGGTGAGGGGGTGAGGGGCATCAACACCCTCAACCACCCCGCACTTGGGATTCATGGTGGTTTGTTTTTATTTGCCTCTGTATGTTTTTGTTGGTTTTCCCCAGGAGGACAATGAGGTACCTGAGACAAGCCTGGCTCTGGGTGCTGCAACCCTTTCCTCGGTTCCCAGATGCTCAAGAACCTTGAATTCATCATTGTCCCCCTTTTACAGAGAGGGCTGGAGGTCACACAGTGGGAACACGGGGAGCAGGGGTTTAAAGGAGTGTTTTCATGACCCTAAGGCCCTGGCCGATGACCTCCAGGCTCAGAGCCTGACTCACGTAGAACATGTCGGTCCCTTAGTGGCCTGTGGGCTGGCTTTGTGCCTGGGATCTTCAGGGCTCAGGGGCCAGGGACATGAGTATCCAGAGCTCTCAGCCCCACCCCCCCACCCCCGTCCCTCTCCTCCTCCCCAGCCCCTTCTCAGCTTGCTCCTGCAGGAAGCCCTCCCTCGGGTATCATTTCCTACAGAGGAAATCTCCTTTGTCCCTGGAAGTGCAAATCTGGTGTGAGACTGGCAGGCCTCTTGGGGGCTATTGTTTGGCACTTCCTTGTTGGCAGCGGCCTCAGGCTCCTCAGTCCCTCTGCTGCCGGACTGTCCAGGGTCTGAGGCTCCCAGAGGCCCCTCAGCTGGAAGGGCCAGCTAGTCAGTTAGATAACTAGGGCTTGGTTCCTGCTCTCAAGGAGATAAGAGTGTGATGAAAGACCTAAAGCCAAAACCACCCAGAACAACCCAGAACCAACCAGAATCCCCAGGCAAGCCCTTCCCAAGCTCCTCACCCACAGGGATTGTGAAAAATAATAAAGCAATTACAGTTGTTGGGTAAAATATACTTAACATAAAATTTACCATCGGAATCGTTTTTCGGGGTACATTTCAGTGGCATTACGTACATTCACACATCGCCACATCCATTTCCAGAACTATTTCATCTTCCCAAACTGCAACTCTGACTTCCATTAAACACTAACTCCCCTTCCTTCCTCCCCACAGTCCCTGGCACCCCCCATTCTCCTCCTGTCTCTGTGAATTTCACTGCTCCAGGGACCTCATGTAAGTGGGACCCTACAGCATCCATGCTTTTGTAGCTGGCTTAATTACTGAGCACCATGTCCTCAAGGTTCATTCATGTAGCGTGTACAAAATGTCCACACTCTGTAAGGCTGAGCCGTGTTTGAGGTACTCCACATTTTGTTTATCTGTTCATTCGTAGATGGAATCCTTGTTGCTTCCACCTTTTCACTATTGTGAATTATGTTGGCATGAGCAGGGGTATGCAAATATCTGTGAGTCCCTCTTTCAGTTTTGTGGGATATGAACCAAGAAGTGGGGTTGCTGGGTCATATGCTAGTTCTATTTTGAGTTTTTGAGGAACCACTGTTCTGTTTTCCACAGCAGCTGCACCCCCTGACATTCCCTGCAACAGCGCACAAAGATTCCATTTCTTTCTCTTTTTCGAGACAGGGTCCAGCTCTGTCGCCCAGGCTGAAGTGCAGTGGTCCAATCACAGCTCACTGCAGCCTCGACCTCCTGGGCTCAAGCGGTCCTCTCACCTCAGCCTCCTGAGTAGCGGGGACCGCCAGCATGTACCACTATGCCCAGCTCTTTTTTTGTATTTTTAATAGAGATGGAGTTTCACCACCTTGCCCAGGCTGGTCTTGAACTCTTGAGCTCAAGCGATCCGCCCACCTCGACCTCCCAAGTTTCTGGGATTACAGGCGTGAGCCCCTGGGCCTGGCAGAGATTCCAGCTTCCCTCATCCTCGCCAGCATTCACTTTTCTGCTTTGATAGTAGCCTCCCCACTGGGCGTGCGGCCGCATCTCACTGTGGATTTGGTTTGCATTTCCCTGGTGACTAACGACGCTGAGCATCTTTTCGTGTGCTTTTCAGCCACTCACACGTTTTCTCTGGAGAAATGCCTGTCCCAGTCCTTTGCCCGTTTTGGAATGGGGTTGTTTGTTTTGTGTATGTTTCTTGTTTTAAGCTGCTAGGATTCAGGTGGTTAT